TTCTAGAGTTACGTGTGGTATGCCCATTTCGACTTCTTTCTCGGTGGTATTTAATATGCTGATTTTGCAGCTAATGTTTGTTGGTTTTACTAAACAGTTGCCGGTGAATATTCCAGGGCGTATTTCTTTAGAATATACCAACCCGGATTTATTTTTATCTATCGTCGCGGGGACTATCGTCGCGCAGCGCGGTTTTAAACGGAGGACCGTATGGGGATACAGTTTCAATCGTGTATCCTTTAGTGATCTGTCTTTTTTGTAGTCGCAGTAGGCCCCTGTTGCCTGTAGGAAGTCGATTCCTACTATTTCTTCATAGTCGATAGGGAAATCATTGAGTACCACATAAACAATGTGTTTGACAGCTGCTTTTCTTAGCAGGAACGTCGCTCGGAATCTTCCGAGGGTATATATCGTGTGCCCGGTTATCCCGGTTAATGCTATTTGGTCCTCATCAATTAGTGTTTCATCCCCGATGTTTCATAATTTAATAAAACTTATTGCGGAGCTAGTATCGAGCAGAAACAGTGTTTTTTTCTTTTTTGAACTGTTTCACCGTTAAGTAGAGTAATTCTAATTCCGTTTCTCTTCTATTATTATTGCTTCGAGATTGTAATTGATTTATAGGATACGCGCGGGCGGGTTTGCGCCGTCGGCGTTCTTCGTCGCGGTCGCTGTCCTCGTCGCTTTGCGCATTTTTCGCGAGGCTATTTTCTCCCTCGCGGAACTGTACCGTTCGTGGGCTCGGATTTCGCATGTTTGCAGTGTCTGCGGCGTGTGCGGGCGTCGTCCTCTTGTGGAGGTTTCTACATTCTTCGCGGTTATGTCCCGATTTGTCGCAGAGAGTGCAATATTTTAGAACATTATTTACACGCGCGTTGCCCTCCGGTTTAGGCAGCGAGAACCGAGTCCCATATCGGCTACTGCGGCATTCTCACCCGGTGTGTCCCAGCTTTCCGCATTTTAATACGGACGATTCTCGCGCAGGCATGCTATTTGCATATCTGTGATATCGCGTGGTCATCGCGATATCATTTGGATGGCTGCTACCGCTTCCTGTCCCTTTTACACGTTCTTCTTCGACGGCTTCCGTTATAGCGTCGGCTAATGTAGCGGGGGCGCGAGAGCGTACTATGGTTTGTAGCTTTTCGTTCAATCTTAGTAGATAATTTATAAGTGCCTGTTGTTTGATGTATCGATGTATCGCGCTTTTTTCTTGCTCTGAATATTCGTTATCGTCGGTGGTGGCCGTGAATAATTCGGTCGCTAATTTCTTTATCCGTTTACCGAAAACACATACTTCTTCTCCCGGTTGCTGGCGTACGTAAACTCGCGTTGTAATCGCGTGCTGGACTTTTTCCTTGCATAACATTTTTCTATCGTATTTTTTAACGAGGCGTAATTGCCACGGATCTCGATTTTTTATTTCGATTAAAGCGATTCCTTTTAGTCTTGTGCAAACTATTGCCCGTACTAATACAGCTTCATCTGCAGGGTGTATTATCTCGAATGCGTAGTAACACGCAGTGAGGAATTCTATTAATCTTTCCTCATTTGATCCATCGAAAGGTGGAATATGGTCTTTTGCTTCGCGCAGCCTGGCGTGATTCTCTTACGGCCGACGTTATCTATCTCTTGTAGTCTGTTATAGGAATCTCGCTCGTATGACTCTATTGGCGCAGCGTCGGTGAGAGCTACTCCGACGTTTCATTGCGCAAGTACTTGCGCTGTCGTGGCGGACGTATTTTTTAGATCCCCTATGCCTTCGATTATTATTTCAAGTAAAGCAAGCAATCGATCCGCATCTATCCCTAAACTTCCTGTTGTTGGTCGGTCCGGATTCGATTGAATGTTTTCAAATTGCGGCACGGATTTCTCACGGGTTGTTGCGTCCCGTCTATTGGTGTCGTTGTCAACGTTCTCCGCATTTTGGCTATTTCTTTATTAATCGCGTATCTCATTTCCCGGTTTCCTACAATTTCCGCAGACAAACCCGGTGGTGGTGTGACGGACATTCTGTCCTCGCTAAATATTTGATTTGGATCGAAAATATCGCTATCGTACGACGATAAAGAGAATTCTCCTCTGAGAGAGGGATTACTAGGCGTTCGGCTGATTATTAGCCTCGCACTCTTATGTTTTATGTCGGACGTTTTCGCTCGCTCGCATTCGTCGATAATTATGAGGGAAGCATCGGACGCACCTTCCGCTTTGTCAAATTGTGTGACTTTATTTGCTTGGTCGGGTAAATCAAATTCTTCCTCAGAAGAGTAATAATATTCTAGGTTTTTCTGAACGCGTTCCGCGATATCTTGTACGGCTGACTCAGCAAGGTGTAGTAACTTAACCGTAGGAATCTGCATGAGTCGCCTAATAGAGTTTAAAGCGGGTTCACTATGCAGCCACGATTTGCCACGATTTTTTTTTAAATGTGCGTACGACTCGAGACGTCCCTCTGACATTCGCAATAATTACTCGATACAATTATCGTAATTCGTTTTTCGACTTATATTAGCGCATACTGCATGTTGCTGTACTGCGAACGGCTCGAACTGGCTGGCGTCTGGACGGTGATACTGTTGCGGTAGGTCGGTACCTCGGTGTCGCAGTCTCGCTGTAGTTCTCAGGTCCGATGTCGCGATCTCCGTTGCTCAGCTGGTCGTTGCTCCTTGTCGGTTCTCCAGTAGTTCATGTTCGCGTTGACTTTCGCTTGGGCTTTCCTCTCCTTGGTGAGCTTTTCCAGGGACGATATTGCTTGGTGCCACTCTATGGGTCGGCAGTTTCCCGTCAGTCTCGGCTCCACTTTGGTAGTCGTCGTAATACGATTTTTTTCTGGCGGCTGTCCTGGCTTACTGCTGCACTCATTGGTGACGCTCCTTCAGTGTATTTCGAGCCTCTTATTCATTCACTCTCCTCCTTGACTTTACCACTGTTTTCCGTGAAATATTTTTCACGAATATTTCTCGTTTTTTTTGTTTCAGATGCAGGCTTGCTGTCACTCTTTTTGAAACAATCCCACCGCTGCCACCAATTTGTTGCGGGATCGAAAACGAGGCAGTGGTGAAGGAGGTGTCTTAATAAAACTTAGTTTATTTTGGAAAAGAGTCTTACTGACTTAACCTTTTATTAGCGTGTTACAAAATGTAGTCTTAGAGATAGATACGTTTGCTTCGGTCGGCCAGTGGACTGGCTCTCTCTTCCTTCGGTAATGGCAGTCGATTTATAGACCGTCGCCGAATAAATCTTACAAATTTAGCGGAAATATCACGCCACTTATGACCTTCGTTCATGCAGACTGTGCATTCTTTGCCTATTGCCTTTTTTGGTCTTCCGCTGGGTGGCGTGATGCTTAATTGCAACACGTGCAATGCAGGCGGAAGTGCTTCGCATGGCACTTTCGCCATATAATTAATGTTGCGACGCGACTTTCGCTCGCCGTCGGCAAACTGCCGTCGGTCCACGCGCATCGGTCGTTCGCACTCGCATCAAAGAGTTGGGCGCCAGCTGCACCGTTCGCCAACACGAAACGATACACCACCCAAGGCCGAGACACGCGAATTCGACGGGACCGGTAGCTCCGCGGTATTTTATAGTCGGTAGACGGGAGGGTTCGATCGGGGATCCGGGATTCAGTCGGGAAGACACAAAAATAGAGACGCGCTTCGCTTATCTCAGTTTTATTCGGTCGGGGATCGGTACGATCCGACCCCTCGATACGGTACATTCCACGAGGCGCTCTCGCGAATTCGGAACTTGCTCTATGCCGACAACTATTACGAGACTTAATACGTTTGCGACACCGATACAATAAAGCAAGTGGACGGCCTTACAAATGCGGGGACCTCCCGGCGGCGTGGACTCTCGGTCTCCTTCCTCGGGGTCGTTCCTCCGAAATTCCGCCACCAGCGGTAATCCTCCGGGCGCAGGGAACTCCACCAAGCTCCGTCGCTCCACCAAACTCCTGCACTCCACCCCGGTACACGGTATCCTTCCGTTCGCTAACGACAGGCACTCTTCTCGTCCACGATAATTCTCTCTTTTCGGTTCTCGGTAATCGACTCCCGAAGCAAACGGTAAGAAGAAGCAAAAGAAACGGGAGTGCCCTCTTTTATTTCTTTTGTGTTGTCGCGCTACCCGTCTTTCCCCGTTCTTCGTCATATCTCCCGATACGGGAATCCTTCCGCGGATCTTTGTTTTCGATCCGCGGGACGGGGGCTTGGTCTCATTCTTGCTCGTTCTCTCTCTCTCTCTCTCGCTCGCACTCCCGCTGTCTCTTCGTCTAGGCCGGCTTTGTCTAGCCGGCGCTCACGCTTCGGGCACGGGAACGCCGACAGTTTGGCGCGATATCCTTGCGGGCCTGTGGACAACGGAATCGGCAGCGAGAATCTTTCAAAGCGATACGGAATCGATAATATTACTCATAAGGAAGCGCATTCACCTGGTGTGGCGGTCTTGTCGAGGGGTGTCGTCCTCTTCCTTCTTCCGCTGGTCCCTCCGGTCTTGATGGGCGGCACAGGAAGTCCAGTTATTGTGAAGCCCGACACCCGTAAGGTGCCGCGCTGTGCTACCTCAGCTATAAAAGCTATACGCTACACACCACTTTCCAGCAATTTGTCCTCTGCCACTGAAGCGGGCAATGGAAAAATCCAGCAGCGCCTGCGTGGGTCGTACTTCGCAGGATGAGCGGTTTAGTCGCGACACGCGCGTCGACTCCCGTCAGGGTGTCGCCTCGCGTACCGCGTCCACGGGGAACCACGGGGAGGCCCGCTCATTTGTGTCCCGAGCCCGGACACACGCTCTGACCCTTGAATGGGATAGGTCGGGGGAGGAGTATATGACACGGTAGGTGGGTTTTAGCGGACATGGTTGTAGAGTAGAATTGTAAAGTGGGTAAAGATTCTAGAATAGAGTAGAGAAAAGCGAAAGAAAAGAGAGTAGAAGAAAACGAAAGTGAAATTGGAAGCCTGACGTAGACCCTTTAACCAAAAGGGAATCCCCTACAGAATGCCGCAAACACGGAATAGGCCTCTGGAGTTGCCACGAAGAAATGTGCCATATCTCCGGCCAATTCCAGCTTCCGGCTGGAACGAATTGTCGCAGCGCTTTACTCTGCGGCCCGTAGTCCGGATATTCGATCAAGTGACGCATCGCTGTGCCCTCAGCGTCACCCTGTCCAGAACGTTGTTTGGAAGGTACTTGTTATACGGCCTTTGCTCGAAGAAGACCATCGAGCTTGCGTACGTTTAGCACCTCTTCCCTATAGAGACCACAAGTCTCTAATGCTCACGGTGAATGGGATTATGACGTTACCTATTCTGGCATTCATTTCTTTCCTAGCTGGATATCACGCCTTATTTTCGTTAAGGAGGATATCAACTGGGACCGCACCTGCAGCAGCACAAAGCAACCCCGTCGACGCCGTGCGGTATGCATCAACCGCCAACATGAGCACCGGCGCTGCAGGGTCCGAAGATCCTTCAGGCCGCCCCTCTCCGCATCGGTCGATCCATCCGGCGGTGGCGTATGCCAACCGTCGGAGTGAACACACCCCGATAGATCGTCGAGAGCGCGCTAAAGCGCAGCCCCCATCGACATCCCGCAGTCCTAGCTAAATTGCGGCCCGACCTTACCGCGCATGTATTTACAATGGGAGAGTACTCCCGTTTCTTTGTCAATTGAATGCCCAGATGCCTAACTTTCTATCTAATAGAGTTTTCTTCGGCCCTGATCGGCTGGTCGGTGGTCACGCGCCGCATGATTGGATTTCTCAACTCTAGCTGCCTTTCGTTTTAAGCGTGCTTCTCCCTTTATGCCTATCAGGCTCTCCCGATCAATGTACTCTTGAGGACAACCGCCTCAGTCTTAAGCAAAGAGATCTGGAGTTTTTTTTTGCCCTTTCGCACCTTTTGTTGACAAAGTCAACAGTGCGCTGCCCTCGCTCTTTAATTTCGCAACGGGAGTCGCCTTCGACTGTGACCAGCAGATCGTCGGCATGCGCGATGAATGACCTGCCTATCTCTTTGTCAAGTTCACGGAGGAGGCCGTCGAACATGACGTTACCTATTCTGGCATTCATTTCTTTCCTAGCTGGATATCACGCCTTATTTTCGTTAAGGAGGATATCAACTGGGACCGCACCTGCAGCAGCACAAAGCAACCCCGTCGACGCCGTGCGGTATGCATCAACCGCCAACATGAGCATCGGCGCTGCAGGGTCCGAAGATCCTGTCCAGCAAGCTGGCCCTAAAACTGAGCCTTGAGGGCAGATTCTCTCTACCTCTTTGGAGACGCAGATGCCTCCGAAAGAGATCCTAACTTTTCTGACTGCTATTCGTCACCCGAAGATTTTGCGGAGGCAGTTCCGCACCTTTCTAATCTTTCTAATACAATGCGGACAGTATGAAGACTGCTACCAAGTCTGGGATACCGCAGAGGGGTCGACAGGTCCTCTGGGGGAGCGCTTTAGGCTGTGATTTTTATCATCTCCACAGCCATTCAGCCCTAGGCACGCTTCCTTCGCCGTAGCTTGAGATCTCGTTCGACCGCGGGTCAACCGTAGTCTTCCCGGGGGGTCGCTAACGACTGTGCATGTTTACCGTCCCCGCAGTCATTCAGCCTTCGGCGCGACCCGTACGTTAGCCTTGGGACTTGTTCAACTTCACGAGTGTAGGTATATACCCGGTCCCAGCGTTGTACCTAGAGCGGTCTACAACGCTGTTTGCCTGTTCGATTTTGGTATTTTCCCTGTCTCGATGATTCGTCTTTCCCAGTCGCTACCCCTGTTGGTTCGGTTTCCCAGGCCGAGACAATCAGGTTCGTTGCATCGCAATGGGAAGACTTGGATTTCGCATCGCGACTCCCGTTTCAACAGAGCGTGTGTCTACCTTCATCTACCCGGGCAGTGTCCTTATTAACGATTTCCTTGTTGGCTTTAAGAGGGCTCTCGCATGAGTCCCATGGATGTCCCGGTACACCTGACAGAGTCCATAACGTGACTTGGGGCGTCCGGACAATGCCCAGGTCGCCCCGTTCCATGTCACGCATGGCAATAGCGGTCCGCAGGACGCCAGCCGAAACCGATCGTCCCCAGATTCGCTTCTCTGCTTGAACACTCTTCGCTGTCCTAGTTTGCTGCGTTGGGCGTCAGTTCCATCACTCGTGCAAGTACCGCACATATACCAGAGTCCATAACGTGACTCGGGGCCCCAGGACAATGCCCAGGTCGCCCCGTTCCATGTCACGCATGGCAATAGCGGTCCGTAGGACGCCAGCCGAAACCGGTCATCCCCAGATTCGCTTCTTTGCTTTGGTGAGTTCTTTGGCGTCCACAGCATCATTTGCTATTTTGGACGCTTGACTGCTCATCGTGTCATGGGGCATTTTACTTTACTTTCTCAATCTGAGAGCCCCTGCCATGTGGGATTTTCGTCTTTTTGGACTTCGTTCGATGCGCACGTGCTGTATACTTGGAGATCTCAGCTCTTATCTCCATTTGGTGTAGTGTACTTGGTTCCAATCAACGCACGTGTGCTTTGCCCTAAGACGTCAGTGTTTACACGCTCCGTCGTTTATTGCCATGCTTCTTGCTGAATACTTCGAGGTCAGACGTATCATTTCCCACTTGGTTATTCAGCCCGAATGTAGACTTTCGCTTGCCGTGGAGATCATCATTTGTGTGAGACTCCTTACAAGCTCGTTCGAATATTTTTGGGTAGCATGCCTTTGCTCAGAGTCAGAGTTTATTTTCCAAGTCCAATTGCGGCGTGTTGCTTTTCATTTCTAACGAGGCTCTTTGATAGGAATGTATTGCTCATGTATATTAGCTATATTTGATATTATGTACGAATTATGTACAAATTTACATACGAATTTCGTATGGTATAGAAGGCAGGTACCATTAAGTACCTGAATGAGAAACGTCACTGTGGAACGTTAATCCCATGGCGCTCGAGCTAGGTCGCGGGTTACCCCTCCGCTTCCTTGGCTCTTGCGCCCTTCAGTTGTCTCTTACGCACATGCGGAGGCTGGCTGCGGCTTCCCGAGAAAGGTGTGGGTAACTGCCCCTTCGTTAGGGTCCACCATATCTCTTCGAGCCTACGACTTTAATTCCCTCCTCCGCATGTACGCATGCCTAGAGAAACAACTGGTAGGGTGTCCGGCTACGAGCAGGCAAGCTCTTGCAGACCAGACCCCGCCTTCCTGTCTTTCTTCCTTGGATGCTATATAGCTTAGTTTTGCGGTTTCCTTATAACATCTTCATTGTGAAGTGTTTGAGCAATTCCATTTGAGCCATCATATTTAAGTCTTTGTTTCGCCATGCTTAACAATTTGAGCCATTATTTTGCAACTTGTGCCATTGGTCGTTCGATTGTTCGAAGTTTACTCTTCCCCTGGATGGGTATAAATCTAGTTTATCCTCGTTTGCGTCACTGATCAGATGACGAGGCATTTGGTACCCGTGTGTTCTGACACCTCTTCGCTTGTATACCACCGTTTCGTGCATTTCCCGACGCTAGTTCAACATTGCGACCAGCCACGTCGGGAAATCGTATTTCGTGTATCTCACGATACTTTGTCATGGATTCTATGTATATTGCAAGTGACGGCCGAGGGATCGCCTCTTTCCTCGATCACTTGACTCGACTCGTGAAGTAGATTCGGAACGCGCACCGCACCCCGACGGCTGCCAAATCCAGCGCGATCGGTTTTGCTGAGTGCGACCGACACCCTGAGGTGCTCGCCACATAAGAGCCAATTCGTCTGACGACACAAACTCGTGGCAATACTGTGATGAAAGCACAGGAAGTCCAGGGGCACAGAGCTCGGGGACGCGGGACCGTTCCACCTGCACTCCCCTATTGCGAACACTAATTAATACGGGGGGGGAGCGCAATGCGGCTCTTCCCCCCCCGCAATTCTCGCGCGATGTACGGTCCGCCCCCCCCGCACCCTCGCATAAGGGCCGAAGGTTCGGCCTGGGACGGGCGCCTTCCCGGCTGCCACGTCACAATGTATATTAATTATGGGATCGTCAGGCTCACTCGGGGCATGACAGTAGGAACACTGATGGCACGATTGTTGATTCCCGTATTAATTACTCCGATGTACGCGGTACCATTTCTATTAGTAACGACAGCGTGTCCTAAGTAGATGTCGTTAATTTGAATACGCGGGACGTACCCTTCCGTTACTTGGAGGTTACTTATTTGGAGGGGAAAAACGGCGCGTAATCTCGCGGGAATTATCATGCATCTTTGTTGGTCGAGAGGAATCGATAGACCCTACCATTGAATCGATTGTTTCTCGAAATTTATAGATTCGGCATCCCGTAGGAAATCTTACGGGAAATCCTAGGAAATCCTAGAACCTATTATTCCTTCTTGAGTGATGGGCTCATCAACAACGTGCAACAATATCGTGTGCCCCATATATTTGATTTCTGAAGACCCGAGATTCGCGATATTTCCGTTGGTGAGTCTGCTAAGGAGGATAATATCGTTCGTGATTATCTCGTTCTCAGGATGTATGCTACGCCTTTTCATAAGATTTGGCGCTGCTCCCATGTCGATCATGAAATTCGTTTCGCGTAAGATGCCTTGGGCATTTATGGAAACAGTGGGAGCATGTGAAAAATCGCGCGGATTTAGGACTGCGACCCGTCGCTCGCGTTGCTCGTGCTTTGTTCCGCTTCGATCGTGTTTATCGGACGAAGTGCATTTCGCGATGCCCGCCTGAGAGTCGTCCATAATCCCTGAGAGATGGTTGAAGTTTCCCGGCGGCCCGTGCGAGTTATTATATTGCCTCTTGCGGCACTCCTTTATCTCATGACCCGGCTTTTTACAATATCTACAACATTTTTGAGTGTTACTGTTCCTGGGTTGTTCAGGACGAGCCGCGACGCGATGCTCCGCGTATGAATTTCTGGTCGGGCGTGGAATAGAAGTTTCGTTGCGCCAAGAAGCTCGTCTATCGGGTTGTTCTGGATTTCGCGATTCACGGTGTGCGTTTGAAGAGTTGGGGAATCGTCGAGGATTGGGGTGGGCATCTGTGACGATTTGTAAGGAGTGGAGTGCGCCAAATGTTGTACGCTAGAACGGCCGGAAGATGCTTCTGGACGGCGGAGATTTTCAGATCGTTCGCGATCAAGCTCCTGCCTCTTTGCGAGCATTTTTGCGTGAGAGAATGCCTCGAATGGCCTAGTGTAATGTTCGGCGCGGAATTGTAATCGGTACTCTAGGGGTAATCCGTCGCAAAAGGATTTGGCTATTAATACATCGATATTGTCTACGGCATGAGCATCCAGGATTCCTCGAAAACAGCGCTCTGCATCGAGTACTGCAGAACGTAGGTCTTTCACACAGCTTATGTAATCCAATACATGTTCACGGGGTTTGATATAAATTGCGCTCAATTCTCCGCGGTATTGACCTAAAGTCTTTAGTGATCTGAAAGCTCCATTTAAGAGATTTAATAACTGCGTGACAGAATTGCACGGCTCATCTTCCACGGCGTAGTATGCACGACCGCGCAATTTGTTTACGAGGAGTCGCGTAAGGTTTCTTTCTGAGGAGGGGGGAATTATT